TGACGATGTTGTATTTCACTGAAATTACAATTAAAGTGAGGAGAAACTGGAGAAGCGAGAAACTGTCAAAAGTTCTTTTATTGTGTTAAGCCCCCTGGGTTGGGAGGTATTGTTCGTTCGAGAGGAAGTTTAGTACTAACTAAATGAGGGTTTCTTTCAACGACATCAGCCCTGGAAAAATGACGAAGTTTAGGAAAATTGAAGAGTGAGGGCTTTTGAAGGTGCCCAATGTTTGAGTAAGATATTAAGGTCTAACTAAATTGCCCTGGAGAATTAAGGATGTACTACACCCTTTTGGCCAAAATTCTCGTTTTTTTTCATTTTCTTGGCAAATTATTGATCGGATTAACGCGAAATAATATACCGTTTTTGCGTTTCATCATTATTAACTGACTCACAAAGTTTCATGGTAGTGCAATCATTTTGCTGCATTTTTTCTAAAGTTTTGTGAATATCCGAAAAGTTTTAGAAAAAACGCAGGAAAATGACTGCACGATCATGAAATTTAGTGAGTCATTGAGTAATGATAGAACGCAAAAATGGTATTTTTTTTCACGTCAATCCGATCAACATTTTAGCAGAAAAATTCAAAAAACGTGAATCTTGGCGAAAAGGGTGTAATACATCCTTAAATGATGGTCGAGGCTCAATTGCTTTACTGCGGTATAATGGACGTGCGGTATAAGGGACTTATTTATTTAGGATGAAGACTGGATTTAAGGCCTTGGAGGGTTTTAAATTTATGGATAAGTAGGTCGCAACAAGGAGGCGATCACTCTGCCTCAACCGCCTTGGACGTGATGCCAGGAAAAGAAAAGACGTGATGTCCAGAAAAAAAACATCACGAAATTTAAACTCCCAGGTTTCAATAGGCAATTATTAATCATTCTTTTACAAAAAGTATTATAGTAGCATTCTGGTAATTTGTGTTGATCGTGTCAATGAAACTTGTGACACTGTCGCCACAAAGTAATTAATGATGAATTGAGAAGAGAATTCCGTAATTGATGGAGGAGAAAAAATAAAAATGGACCGTTTTCAATCGTCAATAACTCGAGATCGAAGTAAAATTCAGAATTTCTTTCATTCCCAAGATATTTTTTCAGGCTTTAAAATGACCCTTGATTCATAAAAATTGTTTCATTTGGCCCATAAATATTGACGATTTAAGGAGGCCCATTTTACCCCCCTCATCCCTAATTATTTTATGCAACTGAATTTCAAACGAAGACATTAGAATGTAAATTAAATATTGATAACACGTGAGAGCTTCTGGACCCTGTTGAGGAGGAGATCGCCCTGCTTCACCATCGCCTGGTACTGCCAGTTCTTACTGTCAGGACGATTTGTCTCTACGACACCACCGACACGATCCACTTTGCAGTGGAGTCTGCCTGCTGCGATGTAGCGGGAGAGTTCTCTGAAAATAATATTCCGGTATAATTACTCCACTCGATTGCTCGTTGATAAAGCATAATGCAATTTATGGTAACATGGAGAAACAAGTTTCTATTTCAAGTGAAAAAAGGTCTTAAAACATCAACTATTACTGTTAAGGCTTGTGAAACTGTTAAAATTTACTGCTGATGTGCATTTTATTATGTCATCATGTAAAATTATACTTCATTTCACTACCTATTTCTGAATAAACGACTTGTTTTGCAATTAAATTTTCCTCTACTACTTAGGTCATGTAATTGGCTTCGACTGTTTGATTTTTCCATAAGTAAATAAATGAACAGTAATTTAACATTAATTGAGTAACGGTGTTAGGTGATAGACTTTAAACAGCTAAGAATTGATAAACATGAATAAAAATAATAATATTAAGGCCCGGGTGTACTATCTTTCGAATTTATCTGGATTTTTTTCATCTTTCATAATCCAAAATTGTCAATTGAGTGGNTAACCGTCCAGCAATTGGTCTTTCACTCTCATTGAGTTTGATGATAAAATTAGATTTTATTAAGGTAAATGTACCTATGCTAGTCCTGTCTCTATGCTCATTTAGATGTTGTGAGTTATCACATTTTAATTATTTTGATGGGATTTGACGGGATGGAACAGGAATTTATTCTCGACATGAATTTTCCAAGTTTTTTTCAGTATTCTTCTCTTTTCATGAGTAAAATTGAACAAAAAAACTTGGGAAATTGGACACGAGGATTTCGAGTAAAAAATATCTCAGAAGAATAAATTGTATATTAAAAAAATCAAATTCTGTTTACAGAATATTTTCCATTTGACGTTTCTATCGAAAAAGAAATGCTGAACTTTTTAATAAAATCGGCCGGGATCTCATAGAACGTGTAATAGAAATTCAATATAATTTTCTAGCGAATTCGTAAGGTTTTTTGATAAAAATTTTTCGTACGTTTATCGTCAATAATTCATGGATTTGCAGGATTCATTGAAATACTCTCGAAATATTGTCGATTAATATTACAAAACAGTAGGTTTTCATTTTATTTAATTATGACTGAATAGTACAGATGCATTTAAGTGTATAAAATTTCAGAAATATCACTCGGTAAATTATTACAAAGAAATATGAATCTGAAATGGGCATCAAGGCCTCCCAATACGCCGAAGATAATTATAATTATATCGACATAAAACTAAGATTTTCGAGTATTCCTCAACTCCCATAACTTTTTGTACTTGCTTTTTAATAAGAAATTATGCCTCAAGTCAATTCCGTATGAAGTTGGTTCAATTGAATGGGAATAAAATATTCATTGAGTAATTAATACCCCATTATGTCGTACGTATTGCATGAATGTATAAAAATACTCTTATAAAATCTCCTTCGTAAGTAAAAACATCGAGTCGTGTTGCATTCATTGAAGTTACGTCCCTTGATTGAGTTATCATTAAGTTTTGTCACACGTGTCATTCTTTTATATGTTGAGGCATATTATAAACAATTAAATGCATTTAGAACGTCCTCGACCTTTCGTTGTTCTCGTTTATTTTCAATAACTAATGGATTTGCAGGATTCATTGAAATAATAGGACTCGGTTTAACTCCGAGTTCAATACTTCCTTAATACTCTCCAAATATTGTCTATTAATATTACCAAACAGTAGGTTTTCATTTCATTTAATTGTGACTGAATAGTACAGATGCATTTAAGTGTATAAAATTTCAGAAATATCACTCGGTAAATTATTACAAAGAAATATGAATGTGAAATGGGCATCAAGGCCTCCCAATACCCCGAAGATAATTATAATTATATCGACATAAAACTAAGATTGTTGAGTATTCCTCAACTCCCATAACTTTTTGTACTTTCTTTTTAATAAGAAATTATGCCTCAAGTCAATTCCGTATGAAGTTGGTTCAGTTGAATGGGAATGAAATATTCATTCAGTAATTAATACCCCATTATGTCGTACGTATTGCATGAATGTATAAAAATACTCTTATAAAATCTCCTTCGTAAGTAAAAACATCGAGTCGTGTTGCATTCATTGAAGTTACGTCCCTTGATTGAGTTATCATTAAGTTTTGTCACACGTGTCATTCTTTTATATGTTGAGGCATATTATAAACAATTAAATGCATTTAGAACGTCCTCGACCTTTCGTTGTTCTCGTTTATTTTCAATAACTAATGGATTTGCAGGATTCATTGAAATAATAGGACTCGGTTTAA